TAACAGTTACTCAGAGTTGAACTAACATTTACTCAGAGTTAAACTAACAGATACTCAGAATTGAACTAACAGTTATTCAGAGATTAACTAACAGTTACTCAGAGTTAAACTAACAGTTACTCAGAGTTGAACTAAACTAACAGATACTCAGAGATGAACTAGACTAACAATTACTCAAAGTTACACTAACAGTTACTCAGAGTTGAACTAACAGTTACTCAGACATGATCTAAACTAACAGTTACTCTGAGTAAAACTAACAGTTACTCAGAGTTAAACTAAGAGATACTCAGAGTTAAAATAACAGTTACTCAGAGTTGAACTACCAGTTAGGCAGAGTTAAACTAACTGATACTCTGAGTTGAACTAGACTTACAATAACTCAAAGTTACACTAACAGTTACTCAGAGTTGAACTAAACTAACAGATACTCAGCGATGAACTAGACTAACAATTACTCAAAGTTACACTAACAGTTACTCTGAGTTGAACTAACAGTTACTCAGAGTTAAAATAACTGTTACTCAGAGTTAAACTAACAGTTACTCAGACGTGAACTAAACTAACAGTTACTCAGAGTTAAACTAAGAGATACTCAGAGTTAAAATAACAGTTACTCAGAGTTGAACTACCAGTTACGCAGAGTTAAACTAACAGTTACTCAGAGTTGAACTGAAGTAACAGTTACTCAGATTTGAACTAACAGTTACTCGGTGTTGAACTAACAGTTACCAGAGTTGAACTAACAGTTACTCAGAGCTAAACTAACAGTTACTCAGAGTTGAACTAACACTTACTCAGAGTTAAACTAACAGTTACTCAGAGTTGAACTAACAATTACTCAGAGTTGAACTAACAGTTACTCAGAGTTGAACCAACAGTTACTCAGAGCTAAACTAACAGTTACTCAGAGTTGAACTAACAGTTACTCAGAATTGAACTAACAGTTACTCAATAATAATGAATTTCAATAGAAGACAAGCTTCTGTTTCTTTTACATTACCTCTTCCAACAACAAATGCATTGACAAATACTGTGTTGTATAGAGCTGCTTCTTATTGGAATGTGTTGCCAATGAAACTAACAAATTTAGGAATTTACTTTAAATTTTAAATTGATCTTAAAAAATAATCAATTATAAATAATATTATTTCAATGAAAAACGCTTCTTGAATCCATTAAGCCAATAAATTTTGATGTAATATTTCTCCATGTAATTTTGTTGTACTGAATTTGACAGCTTTGGGTTGGTTGTTTTATCTTGAACTTGTGTGTTGATTTCTTTCCCTTAAGTGCTTTGAAGGAGTTTTAAGTCAGTGGTTTTTTGATTGTAGATTTCATGTTGAGGTTTCTTTGTTTGAGGTTTGGGCTGGCTTTTTTGTTTTGTTTTAACCTTTATGTACTTTTTTATTTTAATTATGTTGTTTTGTTTATAATGTGTTTTATTTTCTGTGTTGGTCCCCAGGAAGAATAGTCTCTGCTGAGGCAGAGATTAATGGGGTACCATAAATAAAACTAAACTAAACTCAGTGTTAAACTAACAGAGTTAAATGAACAGTTACTCAGAGTCAAGCTAATATAGTCAACCTACCCGGTGTAAAACTAACAACCACTCAGAGCTAAACTAAATGACACTTGGAGTTCAAGGTAACACCTACTCAGCATCAAACTAACAGCTGTTCAGTTATACTAAAAACTACTCAGATTTAAAATAACAGCTACTCAGAGTCAAGCTTAAAACTACTTATTCTTTACTAAGAGCTACTCTAAATCAAGCTAAAAGATACATGGAGTCAAACTAACATTTACTTAGAGTTAAACTAACTGCAACTTGGAGTAAAATCTGACAGCTTCTTCAAACTGACAGCTACTCAGAGTTAAACTAAACGGTTTTTGTAGTCAAACTAGCGTTTACATGGAGTTAAGCTAACATCTATTCAAAGTCAAAGTCAGACACGTAACTGTCCTTCCTGATTTTAGTCTTAATAATTTAGGGATAGTTATTTTTTTTATTATTTAGCCTCAAGTTTTATTTGTCTGGTTAATAAAATAATATTTGTGATGTCACAATCAGGATGAAGAATCGTTACAAAAAGCGAGAAAAGTATAAACTATATATCATTTATCTAAATTTACTTGTCTAAACTGTTGGTTCACATTGTGCTTTTGATTTGCCAAAGAGACATTTCTGATCAAAACACAACAATGCTGCAAAAAAAATGGAACCTTAAAGTGTTTTCTAAATTATCTTCTTGAAATATTTTTTCAATTAAGTTTGCAGTTTTATTATTGGTTAAAGTTAATCTCAGCACCTCTGAACCATTTAGGACTGGGTTCAATTTGTTCAATCCAAAACGAGGATAAAATTCGAACATCCAGCAGAAGGCGGTGAAATTATTCAGTATTTTTGAACAGTCGTCTGGTTTCTGATCCAAACCTCTGCTTCCTTCCCTCAGCTACACCTCAGCCCACATCGGGGTGACCCTTCATCAGTCTCCCTCTCTGTCGAACCACGAGCGCAACAAAATCGTAGGGATCCTGGTCGTGATCACGGTTAACTTTATCGTGGTCTTCGGACCCTACCACCTGGTGGGCGGGTACAGGTTTGTGTCTCTGCTGCTCACCGACGAGCCCTGTGGATTTGAGCAGTCCATTTTCCTGGTCTATCGGCTTTGCTACGGCCTGACCAGCCTCAACACTTTACTGGACCCCCTCTTTTACATCTTCCTCTGCCCCGACGCTCGACTGGAGCTCCAGAGGTCCCTGCCCTGTCTGAGAACAGGCCAGAACAACCGTAAAAACACGACCACGAGCTGCAGGTATCAGCTGGACACCGACAGAGACAACTAGACATGGGTTTTTACAATGTAAAAACAAGTGTGCATTCCCACGTAGCATGTCATTGCAGCATGGCTTTGCCTGCAGAATGAACTGTGACCAAGTTCAAATGTGTTTTCTATACCAGCTTGTGCCTGTCARYTSWGCAGGTGTTTGTAATTAAGGTAATTGTGTGACAATATGAAGTTTGCAGAGATTTTTGTTAAAGTTGCAGTAGCTGGATTTGAACCCTGATCTCCCCCATGAAAGCCCACAGTGCTCATCATGAGACTATAGGAGATGTGGCAGAGGACAATCCCAGGGATTAGATTGTATGTATACAGAAAAAGTTTACCTTGCCAATGCAATTATTGACACTTAAGTGCAATATATTACAAAAGAGCAGTATTAAGACAATATTATAGTAAAACATCAAAATACAATCATATTAGTATTGTAAACACAGAACAATTGAGATGAAATATTATTAAAGTATGGAGCAGTATCAAGTTGAGTACAGCATGGGGCAGTATTGGACCATTACAAGGCCGCATTGACTCCCATTATATGAATTTTGGAATAAAGTTTAAACATTAATATTTCAAAAACTACAAGTTGTACAGGCACCAGAAGGCATAGCAATCATTTGGCACAGGAGCTTTACAGATAGAAATTACAATGGCAGCTGTAGGAC